TTAAATTACAAGGAACTGGCAAGACACTTGATGTTATGTTTGGTTACATAAAGGCTTTTGAAAAGAAACTGGAAGTCTTTAAGAGGGATGTGAATGGTGAGAGATTTAGATATTTCCCAAACCTCAAGAGGTACATCAAAGACCTCCCAAAAGTGCCGGAGTCCAACCCCAGCAGGTCCAGGGGTCCCCAAAGGTGTGGATGGAGTCGGCGAAGAAGGAATGACACAGAGACAGCGTTCAGTTGATCAGCAGCCTAGCCAGGATCTCTGGCCAGGATCTCCAGCCAGGTTCTGGTCTGGATCTCCAGCGAAGTTCTGCTGTTTATTGTCTTGTTACATCCGTATTTATACCAGTTGATTTTAATCCTGTCAATTTCTATTACGAAGGTTAGGGCGTTTCTTATCTCCATTCCAGGGAGTAAAGATTATGTAGCTTAAGCATGATTGTTTGTAGTTAAAGTGATTAACTACCCGCCTGGCACTTAGTTAAGGAGTTTCATCCCCTCCCTAACTTCAGGGAAAAATTCCTACCTGGGGCAACAACCTTTCTCGGAGAGGTGACCTTGGTTAAAACACACAGCGCTAAGGGGAGCAAACATATTAAGAACAGTATGCTATATACGCCAGGTCCCTTGAAACATATGCTGTGCAGATGTTTCTTTCCTGCAGCGACTGTGTCAAGCAGCAAGGATGGACCGGCTTCCGGCAAATCAAAAGATGGCAGAACAGACTGTCAAAGCCTTCAAAAGCTGTTTTTAAACATCATCGAGTCAACTATTGAGCAGTTCTTCTCAAGATTTGCGAAATTCAGAGAACTGGAAGAGACAGCAAAATTTATGAGGTTTCCAGACAGCATGAAACTGGAGGAACTAAACTTACAAATGTTTTCATGGATAGACATGGCTGACTTTGAAATGCAGTTGACTGAATTTCAGAGTAGCTCAATTTGGAAGCAGAAATTTATTGACCTTAAGTTGACTTGGAAAACATTGAAAAAAAGCGATTAGAGACAGGAGTACCAGAGAGAAGTGTCGAAAACGAACTATTGAGGACTTGGAATGCCATTCCAGAAAATTTTTTCTGTTTAAAAAACTTTGCAACAGCGATACTCTCCATGTTTTCATCCACATACGTTTGTGAATCTTTGTTCTCAGTGATGAATTTTGTTAAGTCTCATAATAGGAGTAGCCTGACGGAAGAAAGTAGTAGCTCGTGCATATCTCTGAAGGTCAAGAAATATAAACCTGATGTAAAATCTCTGTCATCAGTGATGCAGCAGCAAAAGTCCCACTGATAATATCAAACGGAGTCATAAAGTTTTCTGTCGGACTATCAGTGCACATGTATACATTAAAAAATAAATGAATTTTTTATCATCCTATACTGTGTTTTTGTCGCTCGAATGAATTTTATTATTTCTTCAAGGTTCTTCACATAGTACACCTTAAGAGTTACCAAGTAGGCATAACATGTTCTCAAAAAATTAGGGTTGGCACGCAGAAGAATTTTGAGTCAGAGATTTTGCTGGTTTTGGCACGCACTCACAAAAAGGTTGCCCACCCCTGGCCTAGTGGCTGCCAGGTGCTCTGCTAGGAGCTCCCCGTGGACTGTGCCGGCCCTCACGGAGGGGCAGTCCCGTGGGGAGCAGACGACGAAGTCATGATGCAGACACATTGTTTGGGTGAGTGCCTCAAAGGGAAACCAATGTAGGGACTCAGAACCGAGGAGGCTGTGCCAGGGGGCGGTGGGAGCATCAGCAACAAGAGGGGGTCATCAACAACAAACTCTTAAACAATAAGAACCCGTTAGAAGTCAGCCTGGCCCGGCCCTGTGGCTCAGGGGGTGAGCCTGGACCTTTGAGCCAGGAGGTCACGGTTCCATTCCCAGTCAGAGCACATGCCCGGGGTTGTGGGCTCGATCCCCAATAGGGGGCGTGCAGGAGGCAGCTGATCAATGAGTCCTCTCATCATTGATGTGTCTATCTTTCTCTCCCTCTCCCTTCCTCTCTGAAATCAATAAAAATATTTTTTCAAACATGAAAGTCAGGCTGCTTTTTTTTTTATTATTATTGATTTTTTACAGAGAAGAGGGAGAGGGATAGAAAGTCAGAAACATCGATGAGAGAGATCGATCAGCTGCCTCCTGCATGCCCCACAGTGGGGACGTGCCTGCAACCAAGGTACATCAGGCTGCTTTTTATTACCACTATGTACCAGTGACTCTACACAATCCTCCCACCTCCCAAATTCTTCTATTGGTTTAAGACCTAAACAATTGTTTCAGTTACTGTTGACTTTTTTAAAAATATATTTTTATTGATCTCAGAGAGAAGAGAGAGATAGAAGCATCAATGATGAGAGGCAATCATTGATCGGCTGCCTCCTGCACACCCCCTACTGGGGACCGAGCCCCCAACCCAGGCATGTACCCTTGACCAGAATCAAACCTGGGACCCTTCAGTCCGCAGGCTGACACTCTATCACTGAGTCAAACTGTCTAGGGCACTGTTGACTTTTCATATTATATGTGTCAGTCTCAAATTGGCACCTTTTCATTACGGATCCTCTAATAAGCACTGTATTCTACGTGGAAGTTAATTGGGAGGATTCCCAGTCATCGAGCCACTCCTCACAGTGCTGAGCTCCCCGAGCGCGTGTGCATGCAGAACGGTGCACGCCTCGGGGGAAACCTGTGTCTCTAACCCTGTCCTACTGCCCTTCCTTTACTCCGTGGGTCTGAAGTAAACACTAGCAGCATAGTTCGATGTAACCCTGTGGAGCTTTTATTTGTTTAAAATTTTTCAACTGGAAAGATGTTTGAAAGCTGCTAGAATCAATCCCCAAGAAGCAGGCATGGACAGTTCTGTGATTTCTGGAATTGATTGTGAAATTCATTTTTTTCCTGAATTTCTGCTAAATTTATTCTTATGATTAAGGCTTACCTAACTATCTGTGCATCAATTGTTTCATGTGAGAAAAAAACATTTCCCCCCAAAATTAATAAAGAGGATTCTTTGGTCAAGTATGATCAAAGATAAATTAACAAATTTTCCTAAGCTATTTCTTAAACATAAATATTCAAAGTTAATTTTGATGAGGTCATTGACAAACCCGCAGAAGCCTGGAAAACAAATGGTGTAATGTTATTATCATTATTGCTATAGATGTGCATGTACATCTCCCTTTTTGCCAAAAGGAATGCATTAATATAGTTTTAAAGTATTATTCCCTTTCTTTTTTTGTGCTATAATATTTTACTTTGTTTTTACTAGGATGATGATACATATGACCTTTAATGAGAGAACATTTCATTGCATTTTTATTGGCTACTATTACTATTCGTGGCATGATTATTATTGAAAATAATGTATAGAGGAGGGATATTTTTTAAGAACTATCTGCTTGCCTGGCTGATGTGGCTCAGTTGTTTGAGCAGCTTCCCATGCACCCAGAGGTCAGAGTTTGATTCCCGGTCAGGGCACACACCAGGTTGCGGGCTCGATCCCCAGTAGGGAGGGTGCAGGAGGCAGCCGATGGAACACCGATGTTTCTCTCTCCCTCTCCCGCCCTCTCTGTAAAAATCAATAAAAACATTAAAAACAACAACCACAACAATCACCTGCTCTGGGTGTGAGGCCTGCGGGCGTGCCACTGCAGGCGGTGAGGCTCCCTGGGTAAGGGGCATCCAGCCGAGGCCTGAAGGCTGAGCTGGGATTGCAGGAGAAGAGGCTCCAGGAAGAGAGGAGAGCACTGCAACTGAGGTGCGCGCCCTTGACCGGAATCGAACCCGGGACCTTCAGTCCTCAGGCCGACGCTCTGTCCACTGAGCAAACCGGCCAGGGCTGGAGTCTTCCTTTAAATGGCCTTGTGCCTGCCCAGCTACAAATAGGGGGTTCTCTTTCTAAAGAAGACATAATGGATAACGGGGGAGGGGCAGGTGACTCTGCTACACGATAAAAAGCATTTTGGTCTTTATCCTAAAAGCAACGGTTTTAAGAATAAGAACAGTGTGGTCATGCCTCTATTGTAAGATGACAGGACTGGCTGGGGCAAGCCCAGGTGGCTTCCTGGGGAGGCTCCAGCAGGGATCGGGCGCAGGGGCCTGGAGGTGGAGTGCATTGGAAGGACAGAGAGAGGAAGGCCTCGGAGACACAAGAGTGTCCGCTGGAGGGTGGAACACGCACTGAGATTGGCCAGAGTGGAAGAGAAGTCAGCGTGTGCTGACGTCATGAGTTCAGCTTAGGGCTTGTGGTGTCCTAGGTACCTGAAGACACCCAAATGGGGGCTCCTGGGTATGCAAATCCAGAGCACAGAGCGTGGTCCAGAGGGCAGAGAGGAGGGTGGGGCTCAAGGGAAGGAGATGGCGTTTAATGTCATGTGCCAGGTGGCCTGATAGCTCCTGCCGCACAGGCTGGGAAGAGAAGGTGAAGGACACAGAAACCAAAGATCGGCTGAACAGGAGAGAGGCCCCTGGAGGCAAGGACGTGGAGCATTTGGAGGAGGGCTCCCTGGCCATGGCCGACCTGGCCTGATGCAGAGGCGGGAAAACGGGGACATGAGGTCAGCAGCCCGCAGACGGGGTTTCTAGACTCGGCCCTGACACTTCCTTGTCTGGAATGCAATTCTTCAACCAGGTCAAGGCACCAAGCTCCTGTGCGGGCACTGTGGCTGCCTCTCCAACACGTTCCTCCTGACTCCCTCGCAGAACCCCAATTTTATTGGCGTAACTATGGCAGAGTCTGCCAATTGCCCCAATATCCATTGTCCCTTTTCCATTGAAATGGAAATTTCAGATGGGCTAAAGACTACATTTCCCAGCATCCTTTGCAGTGAGCCGTGGCCATTGCACTGCAGTGAGTAGCTTACAGGAAGAGAAAACCTGGGCTGAGGGAACCCAACTCTTTTCAGATGGGAACCCCCCACCGGCTGCTGGTCTGGAGGAGGCTCTACCTTCTGAGGCTGTTGGCACCCAGCCTCCCTGCGAGATGTGCAGAGTGTGAGGCCCCGGGAACTCACTTCTCCCCCGTTGCACTAGTGATGGGTTTTGAGGAGCAGTGATGTGATTGTGGCCACTGGGAATGAAGAACTGTTGGCAGCTTCCGGGAAAGTTCTCTTCTGCACTGTGCGTTGTCATGTCTAGGCACGATGCTTGGCGACAGGCAGCCGTCTTGTGACCGTGAGGAAAAGCGTGGCTGCCCCTTGGCCACGGCAGGCGTGATGGCTGAGAGCAGCCTCGTCCTTGCTGGCGCTGCTGAGCCACTCAATTAGCCAGCAGCGGAGCCCCTTCGCCTCTGGCCACCTCGGCACAGGACAGCAGAAGGCCCCACCTGAGCCAGGCCTCGGGGTGAGGCACCGGACTTCCCTCCCCTACGGGCACCCCTTCCTCCTAGAAGCGCGGTGAGGCCACCTGGTGCAGACGCCCAGTGGGAAGCACTTCCTCCTGAGACAGACTGGCTTACCCAGGGGCAAGGGCGGGACAGCTCAGTGAGGGGTTTTCCGCATCCGAGACCATGGATGTGGATAAAGGAGCTTGCCCGCCTAACAGCAGAGGAGCTTGCTGGGGTCCCTGCCAGCTCTGACTCTGGCTGTGTGGCGCCACCCCCTCCACCCGCAAGCTGCTCCTCCACCCGAGGGTGCGATCCTGCTGCGGGCGTGGGGGACGGGGGTGGGGGACGGGGTTGGGGGGGTAGCCCAGCGGGGAGCTGTTACTTGGGGGCGGGTTACTAAGAGGGGAGTCCAGACCACCAGGGGGTGACTTGGGGGTTGGGTGGTGACCCCGAGGAGGAGCGAGGTCAGGTGATGACACACCCGGGGGCTTTGCAGGCGGCTGGGGCCGAGGTGGCAGATGGGGCGGCTCTGCCACCGCCCACGGGGCCACATGGGGCGCACATGCGAGCGGGGCTTTCCCGGGACACTGGCTCTCAACCCGACGTGATCCCAACGGGGGATTTCAGGCACCTGCACGAGCTGGGGAGGGACGGTATCTGAGGGAAAGGCGGGGATTTGATCACCCCAGATCCTCAGTTAATTTCAAAGGCAACTGGTGAGCTCCTCGAGTGAGCAGATGAGAGAAACACACCCACCACCCACGGCTGACATGACATCCTGGATGGGGCAAGGGACACCGTGCACCGCCCAGCCCTGGCAGCCCTTCGGCGGCACCCTCCGCCCACCCCTCTGCCCATCTCCGCCGTCGCCCCCCCCGCCTTGTAGCCCAGTTATTCCCCGCCGCCCCCACCACCACCACCAGGGACCAGAGAGGCCCAGGCCCACCAGGCAGATCCCACAGGGAGGGCTGGGGGGAGATGGAGAGCGGCTGGTGGATGGCATGTGGGCGAGGGCAGGGGTGCGGGCGGGGAGTGAGCCCGCGGTGAGACGGAGGCTGCCTGACCGCGGGGACGCCCCTGGAGAATTCCTCGCAGGAAACTCGCCATCAGAAACCTTATTTGGGCCAATTGTGAGTGCCAGGTGCTGGCTCAGGCGTTTCACCTGGATTTCCTCTTTTAAGCCTCCCAAGGGCCCAATGAGAGATATTAGCTCCCATTGGACATTGGACGGCTGAGCAGGCCCCACAGCTCGAGCGGCAAGGGGGGGGGGGGGGCGTGCTGGGGCCTCAGTCTCTGACGCTGTGTCTGCAGGTCCCAGCGCTCAGTGAGCCTCACTGTGAGCACAAGCCTCACAGACTGCATTTCTCTCCCTCTCTCTCTCTCTCATCCTCACCCAAGGAGAGAGGATATTGTTTTCATTGATTTTTTTTTTAGAGAGGGTGGAAGGGAAAGGGGAAGGGGGAGTGGGAGACAGAGAGAGGGAGGGAGAGAGAGAGAGAAAGAAATCGAAGTGACAGATACACTGTTTGGTTGCCTCCCACATGCACCCCAACCAGGGGTGGGGATCTGACCTGCAGCCCATGAGGTGCCCTTGACCGGGAATCGAACCCACAACCCTCCGGTGTGCAGGCCGACACTCTAACCACTGAGCCAGGCTGGCTAGGGCAGGATTCCTCTTCATCATCCCAAGCGCCCTTGCTGGATCTCATCAGAGGGCACCGCTACGCTACACGGCCTCCCCTCCACCCCCAGAAGTGGCCTCGATCTTTACTCAGGTAAAACCTTTGACGGTGAGGGGGGTAAGGGGGGGCCAGCACAGAAGGCCCAGCAGCCATGCGAACAAGCCACCGTGGCGATGGCTTCTCCGGCCCCACCAAGCCTCAGATGGCTGCAGCTGGCCAACATCTTCCCTGCAGTCTCATAGTGAACCCCAAGCTAGAACCCCCGGGCCCCTGCCCCCCACTCCCTGCATGTTGGAGGAAGTTCTTACTCATCAGGAGATAAATGACACACGTTCCTTTTCGGGGCCAGCGGCTTGGCTGTGCGGCTGTGGCACCCATGCCTCTCTGGGCACGTTCTCTCCAGCTCGGACCCGCTGGCCGCCACATCAGTGCGCTCAGCAGCCCTATGACGGTCCTTCGGGGATGGGGACTTGGCACGTCCTAGACCAGCGGTTCTCAACCTGTGGGTCGCGACCCCTTTGGGGGTCGAACGACCCTTTCACAGGGGTTGCCTAAGACCATCGGAAAACACATATATAATTACATATTGTTTTTGTGATTAATCACTATGCTTTAATTTTGTTCAATTTGTAACAATGAAATTGGGGGTCACCACAACATGAGGAACTGTATTAAAGGGTCGTGGCATTAGGAAGGTTGAGACCCACTGTCCTACACAAATGTCTCAAAAATCCAACCTCCCACCAGGGTTCAGGCCTAGTCGCCTCTCCCTTCACTTTCTGAAACAGCCTTGGCACTGATTCTCCGCACTGACTTTGTCTGACAACAAAATCCCAAGATCCCAGCGGGTTCCCCGGGACAGAAGCACTTTTCGCACACCAAGAAGGCCAGAGGCAGCAGGGCAGGGTCAGCACGAGCGGGGGTGCCGCTGCCCCAGCACCCGGCCTCTTCCCGTCTGGTCGCTCTGTGATGCGCGGCTTTCATTCCCAAGGCTTCCTCATGATCTAAAATAGCTGCTGTGTTCCCGCCATCATGTCCACTGTCCCGCCTTCAGAAAGGAGTAACTGGAGAAAAGAAACAAACAAACCCTCCTTCCCTTTATTTTATTTTTTTATTTTTATTAATATATTTTATTGATTTTTTACAGAGAAGAAGGGAGAGAGATAGAGAGTTAGAAACATCGATGAGAGAGAAACATCGATCAGCCGCCTCCTGCACATCTCCTACTGGGGATGTGCCCGCAACCCAGGTACATGCCCTTGACCGGAATCAAACCTGGGACCTTTCAGTCCGCAGGCCGACGCTCTATCCACTGAGCCAAACCGGTTTCGGCCCCTCCTTCCCTTTAAAAACACTTTGTTAGCACTGGCTGGCAGCTGGGTTGGTCGGAGTGTCCTTCTGATACACCAAGTTTGTAGCTTTGATCTCTTTTCAGGGCACATACAAAAATAAACCCATAATTACATAAATAAGTGGAACAGTAAATAGATGTCTCTCTCTCTCACTCTCCCCCCTTTCCTCTCTCTGAAATCAACTAATAACATTTAAAAAAATAAAAACATGTTTATTTTGCACTGACCACATCTCATAAGAGAAATAAGGAAACACAGTCTCTTCTGAGGGTCACCATGTGCTCAGCTAAAAATAGAAGGTTAGCACTCGGGGAGAAGGCGACCAGGCCGGTGGACGACACCCTCCGCTGCTGCCCGTAACAGGGTGTTACTATCTCTTCTGTTTGTTTATTCTGCAGGATAAAGTAACATAAGCAGCTGAGCCCAGAGCGGACTCAGAGAAAGTTGGTGGCTGTGCCAGAAGCAGACGCTGCCCACCTTCTCCATTTATAAATATTTACAGTTATATCTTTTAAAATAACAAAGGAGGATGACCCCATGTTTCAAGGGTGCAGTCCTTTTCCTGTTCAGTTCTTGGAATCAGGAAAAATTATTGCACCTTCTTTGCTTCAAACATAGAATAGAGGCTGTTCTCTCCCTTGTAAATATGAGATTGTCATTGTTGGGTCATGGTCATGGGAAACAAAGATGAAATACGTTTGAGCTGATACGTTTGTTAAAAGTGACATAATAATAAAGAATTAAAGATTCACTTTAAGATTTATCCTTTAAGATATGCACAGAATGTTAACAGTGTGGGGAGTATGCTGGCCTTCCCACCATATGTGGGTCACTCCATATGTCTGTACCATTTGAACTTGAGCATAAGCATGGATTGACAGGTAAGTGAAAAAAAAAAAAGACATTTAAAATAAGTAAAATATAGCCGATACTCTCCCTAAAAAAAAAAAAAAAAAAAAAAATGTGCACATTATAGAAAATACAGAAATATTTTAAAAGATCATTTAAATTACGACAATTTTCTGCTTCAGAGAGATCCCAGTATTGCTATTTTGGAGTGATATCTTCAATTTTCTTCCTACACATATATGTGTAGATAACTAGATTTCAAAACAAACAGGCTCCTTCTGAATATAGTTTTCCCCAAGATTTTATTATGAAAATTGTCAGACAGCCAAACGCAAAGAATTGTTCAGTAACCACTCATCCCCACCACTAGACTCTCCCACAAATGGGTGTGCTGTCACTCGCTTTACTGCGTGGTTATCCAACTGGATGTGCGCAGTTGGTTTTTCAAGTTATCATACAGTAACAGGGAGCTCTTCGGTGTGCACTTCTAGGGATTTACAGGTACAGGCACATGTAACCCCCACATTCAGGATTCAGAAGAGTTCCACCATCCTCAAAACGCTCCCTCTTGCCATCCCCCGACAGGCACCCCTCCCCCACGCCAAGCCCTGGGAGCCGCTGCTCTGTTCTTACAGCCATTGTTTGTCTTTTCTAGAACATCATATAAATGGAAACATGCAGCATGTAACCTTTAGGGACTGGCTTCTTTCGTCCACATCAGAAGGAGTTGGTTCCTTCTGACTGCTGCGTAGTATTCCACAGTTCACTTACTCACTCTCCCAGCCGGGGCTGCTTCCGGTGCTTGGTGATTCTGGAGCTGCTGTGAGCATTCTTGTGTGAGTGTACGCTTCGTTTCTCCAGGGTAAAGATCTAGGATGGGATTGCAACCCGGGCCGACGCTCAACCACTGAGCCACACCAGCTGGGCAGGACTGGATTTTTATAAAGTCTAATCTACCAGTTTTTCCCATGGGTCTTGCTGTGTTGTGTTCAAGAACTCTTTGACTAACCCCAGATCACGAAGACGTTTCCCCTATGCTTTCTTCTAGATGTTATAACTTTAGGTTTTACATTTAGATCTATGATTCATCTTCAGTTAATTTTAGTGTAATGTGTGAGGTTTAAGACAAGTTTAATTTTTTTGGTGTGTGTGTATAGGTGTCCAGTTGTTCCAGCTCATTTGTTGACAAAAACTATCCTTCCTCCACTGACTTGCTTTCGCACCTTTGTCCAAATCAATTCGCCGTATTTGTGTGGGTCTATTTCTTGAGCCTCTATTCTGCTCCATTGATCTGCGTTGCCCATTCCTCTGCCCACCCATCCACACAGCCATTGGTTGACTCCTGTATGCGCCCCGACTAGGAATGGAACCCACAACCTTGGTGCATCAGGACGACACTCCAACCAACAGAGCTCCGGCCAGGGCACCACACTCGATTACCGCCGCGAGTCCTGTTGTAAACCCTAAAATCAGATCACACGATTCCTCCAACCTTATTCTCCTTTTTCAAAATTGTTTTAGGTGTTCTAGTTTCTTTGCCTTTCCACATAAATTTTAGAAGCAGCTTGTCTATATCTACAAAAATTCTTGCTGGGAATTGATTGGATTGTGTTCAACAGATAGATCCGTTTTATGGGTTGAATTATGTCCCCCAAAAGACAGGTTGCAGTCCACGCTGGGCCTAATACATCACCTCGGAACATTACTATATGGAAATAGGGTCACTGTCGATGTAATTAGTTAAGACGAGGTCCTAGTGGAATAGGGCGGTCCTTAACCCACTGTGCCCGAGGCCCCCAGAGAGAAGAAACACAGACACACGGGAGAAATCACGCAACAGAGGCAGGTGTGAAGGCGCTACAGCTGCCGCCACGGAGCACCTGGAACGGCGGGCAACCCCTGGAAGCCGGACAAGGCCAGGCAGGCCCCGGAGGGGAGAGCTGGCCCTGCTGACACCTAGGCCTCAGACCTCTGGCGTCCAGAGCTGAGACCATTTCTGTGGGTTCCACCCACCCGGTTTGCGGTTCTGTGTCAGGGCAGCTCTAGGGAAGCATTTCGGTCAGGGTGGGGAGAAATCGCATCTGTACTGTGCTGAGTCTTGCAATCCGTGGACTCGGTACCCTCTTTGAGTTCTTGCATCAACATTTTACAGTTTCCCGCATAAACACGCGCGTATGTTTTGTTAAGAGTAATGCGCAAGTATTTCTCTGTTCTTTTTCTTTCCTTTTGGAGCTATTACCAAGTTTTGTCTTTTTGTTTCCAGTTGCTAGCATATAAAACATGACTGACTTTCGTGTGTGAACCTTGCACCCCGCAATCATGATGAAGTCAGTTATTACTTCTAAGACTTTGAAAAATTATGTTAATTGTTATAAAACATTCCGTGATACTTCATTTTAATTAAAAAATGCAAGGGAAATACTGTTTTTCTCCTATGGAATGGCAAAGAGCTTTCTTTTTATTTTTTTATTGAATTTAGAGAGAGAGGAAGGGAGAAGGAGAGAGAGAAACACTGCTGTGAGAGAAAAACATCAATTGGTTCGGGGATCAAACCCAAAACCTGGGCCCTAGCCGGTTTGGCTCACTGGATAGAGCGTTGACCTGGGGACTGAAGGTCCCAGGTTCGATTCTGGTCAGGGGCATGTACCTGGGTTGCAAGCACATCCCCAGTGGGGAGTGTGCAGGAGGCAGCTGATCGATGCTTCTCTCTCATCGATGTTTCTAACTCTCTATCCCTCTCCCTTCCTCTCTGTAAAAAATCAATAAAATATATATTTTAAAAAAACCCCAAAACCTGGGTATGTACCCTGACCTGGACTCAAACCCAAGACCTTTTGGTGCACGGGCCGGCGCTCAACCAACTGAGCCACACAGGCCAGGGTGGCAAAGAGCTTTAAAAAGGAACGAGTCCCACCTGCTGGGCATGTATCTTGTTTCCTTTTCCTATTACTGCTGTTATGAATGAGGAGATGGATTTCGGATTCTGGGACATCAGTCTCTGACCCCTTTTCTAATTATGTCAGAGGAAAGGTTCCTCGGAGTGGGATTAGCAAGTCAAAGGGCTGACCCCTCCGGGTGCTACACAGGCTCAGCCGCTTTCCAGAAACACCAGACCAGCCCCTGCCCGGCACTGTGAACGAGCATTTTAAAGCTCTTTGCCATTGGATAGGAGAAAAACAGTATTTCCCTTGCATTTAAAATAGTCCTTTATAAAATGCCAGCCTGTCCCCCCTGTGCTCCCTTCAAAATACAGCCCACGCCCTGGCTGACAGGTGGGCCCCCCTATCAGCTCCCGTTTACTCCCTTCATCCTCACATTCTGCTGCTTCCTCTTCCCACCCTGTACCGGGAGCCGCAGGGCTGGTCACTTCTGAAACTCACCACAAAACTCTTTCCCTGGGTGAAGGTTTTTTAATAACCTTCACCAACTTAGGCTCTTTGGGAGAATAAAGACCACACTCCACAGTGGACTATATCACTAAACATACAGCCCATTACTACTTTGTGGCCTACATTAAAAAAAAAAACCTCTTTCCCTCCAAGAATGCAGGGGTGCTCCCTCTGCTTGCCCCTCCCCAAGGTACCCAAGGGGGTACCTAGGAGAGGGTTAGAGTGGTGAATCTGAAGCCAAACTGGCTGCCCTTCAGCCCAGCTCTGCTGTGTGGCCTTAGACAAGTTACTCAACCTCTCTGTGCCTCAGTTACCACACTGTAAAAAGACGGTAAGGCTAGCAGCCACCTCATAGGGTTGTTGTAGGATTAAAGAAGTTAATAAGGATGTATCAGAACTGTCTGGGGCTTGGGAGGTATTAAGACATCTTAGCTGCTACTATCATTATTATTCACTAGAGGCCTGGTGCACAGATTCATGCACCAGTGGGGTCCCTCAGCCTGGCCTGAGCCCTTTCACAATCCAGGACCCGTCGGGGGATGTCAGAGGCCCAGTGCATGGATTTGGCCCCATCCCCACAGGCCAGGCCGAAGGACCCCCACTGGTGCACAATCAGGGCCGGGGAGGGACCGCAGGAGGGCTCCCAGAGTGTCCGGACAGTTTGGCCCAGTCCCTGACCGGCCGGACCCCAGCAGCAAGCTAACCTACCAGTCGGAGCATCTGCCTCATGGTGGTCAATGTGCATCATTGCTACCGGCTGAACCGTCAGACACTTAGCATAATACACACACACACACACACACACACACACACTAGAGGCCTGGGACATGAAATTCGTGCATGGGGGGCGGGGGGGGGGGGTCCCTCAGCCCAGCCTACACCCTCTCCAATCTGGGATCCCTTCACAATCCAGGATTGCTGGCACCCAACTGCTCACCTGCCTGCCTGCCTGATTGTCCCTAACCTCTTCTGCCTGCCAGCCTGATCACTCCCTAACCACTCCCCTGCTGGCCCAATTGCCCCTAACTGCCTTCCCCTGCAGGCCTGGTTGCCCCCAACTGCCCTCCCCTGCTGGCCATATTGTGTCCACATGGGGGTGGCCATCTTTGACCACATGGGGGCAGCCATCTTGTGTGTTGGAGTGATGGTGAATTTGCATATTACCTCTTTATTAGATAGGACTAGAGGCCTGATGCATGAAATTCGTGCAAGAGTAGGCCTCCCTTCCCCTGCTGCCAGCACCAGCTTCCCTCTGGCACCCAGGAC